TGTCTCTCCTCAGGCCGGTGGTAGCTGGTCCACTCCAGGACAGTGAGATAAGAGAGACTCCTCCGCCCCTACTGGACATCGAGGGGGCTCCGGCGTACTCAGTCCGGTCCATCGTGGATTCGAGATGTCGGATGGGGGGTCTACAATATCTCGTGGAGTGGGAGGGGTACGGCCCGGAGGAACAGATCCATCCCTCCTGACTGAGTTCCACCGGAGTCATCCTACGCGCCCTGCTCCGCGTCCTCCAGGTCGTCCCCGAGGCCCGGGGTCGGCGCACGGCTGGAGCCGCGCGTCAAGGGGGGGGGTACTGTCACGGATTCTGCCGAGGCTGCTCCTCCTCCTTGCTCGGGCAGGCTTCGGCGTTCGTCATCCCCGGAGTACTAGCTGCCACCGCTGGATGTTTCGATAGTTGTTTGGTCTAGTCTTGTGTGTGCACCTGTTTCGTATTGAGTTTTGATTATGTCACCTATAAGTTTCCCTTTTGGTTTGTTTGCAGTTGTGTGTAATTGTCCGCTTGTCCGTTCGGTGTCTCGTGTATGTTTAGTGTTTACGCGTGTGTGCGTAATCGTTCGCCTCCTTTGTTTTTGAGGCCTTTGTTTCCCTGTGCTTTATTTAGTAAATACATTTTGGATTAAACCTCCTTGTCCTGCGCTTGACTCCACCACTGCATCCACATCCGAACTCTGACAGTATGTCTGTGTCATCACCGAGCTCTCAAATACCGTGCCAGTCTCTCACTCTATGACGTTATTATTGTACACTAGCCTACTCCCCTATCGACACAGTAAATAATATTGCCTAAGTGCCTTCGACAATACGTTATCAACTCAGCAAAAAGTAAATATTTTCAAATAAACCAAATTTGCCTTATCAACACAATAGGCCTAAATATTTCCTAACAATATCACAATTTAAATATACTTACTCCTCAATCGGATCAAGGACATCTTGGTCATTATTTTCATTGTGTCTAAGGGGGGCAGACACTCTCCAAAATGTGTCTGCTGCTTGTAAAAATACAAAATAAATGTATGTCTGTGTCGCCGCTGAGCTCTCAAATACTGTGCCAGTCTCTCACTCTATGAAAGGTCACTGCTGTCCGGATTCCTTGGGACGCCCCTACCCTGAACCCTAAACTATAACCCTTACCTAACACTAAACAGAACCATTTTACATTTCTACTTGATTAAGGTAGGGACATCCCAAGGATTCCGAATAGCACGGACCCTCTGGGAAAGCCTATGAACTCGTCTATTCGACTGAAAGTCACGGACACAACTCCTATTGATTTAAAAAATATATATATTTTTAGTCATTTTAGCAGATGCTCTTATCCAGAGCATACATTATTTTTTCATACTGGCCACCCATGGGAATCGAACCCACAACCCTGGCGTTGCAAGCGCCATGCTCTACCAACTGTACATCCCTGCCGGCCATTCCCTCCCCTACCCTGGACGACGCTGGGCCAATTGTGCGCCGCCCCATGGGTCTCCCGGTCGCGGCCGGCTATGACAGAGCCTGGATTCGAACCAGGATCTCTAGTGGCACAGCTAGCACTGCGATGCAGTGCCTTAGACCACTGCGCCACTCGGGAGACGTGATTGTCTGATGTACTGTGAACTGGAAACAACACAGTCTGTGATTGGCTAACATTTAGATCTGTATACAGCGAGATAAGATAACATACCATCCCATGAGGTGTTGAGGATGTGTTTTAAAAGTGATACAAATGTGACATGTTGCAATTGTGGTGGGAATGCCCAACAAGGGTGAAAGAGAATGAGGTGGCTAAAGTCAGGGGTGTCCAGAGCATTTCATATGCAGCGGCTGTTAAAATTGTTCGAGGGTTTGAATGGTGCTCCTGAAGAGTCCATGGTGGTGGATAGGCCTTCACTGAAGACTGCAGGGGTTGCCATTCAACAGCAGGACCCAGATATATTAAAGGTCAAGAAGGTGGCTATGGTGATTAATGGCCAGGAAGTCCAGGAAAATAGATATCATTGTGGATGCGGCGGAACGGTTCCTGGGACTGAAAGACTTCTCGGCGGAGGAGTTGCATGGAGTATTGTCACAAGCCGTACCACCCTCTCAGGTCATAGAAAATGAAAAGGGAGATATGGAGATTTGAAGGAAGGAAGGAAGGAAGGAAGAAGTGGGAGTTTGGGGGTTTTGTCAGTGTGGTTTGTTATTGTTTTATTTTGGTGGATTAAGTTAGTTTTCCCTATCACTTATGGGTTGGTGGCGGTAATATAGTTGGTGGTGGTATTATACAGTGGCGAAAAAAAGTATTTAGTCAGCCACCAATTGTGCATGTTCTCCCACTTAAAAAGATGAGAGAGGCCTGTAATTTTCATCATAGGTACACGTCAACTACGACAGACAAATAGAGAGAAAAAAATCCAGAAAATCACATTGTAGGATTTTTTATGAATTTATTTGCAAATTATGGTGGAAAATAAGTATTTGGTCACCTACAAACAAGCAAGATTTCTGGCTCTCACAGACCTGTAACTTCTTCTTTAAGAGGCTCCTCTGTCCTCCACTCGTTACCTGTATTAATGGCACCTGTTTGAACTTGTTATCAGTATAAAAGACACCTGTCCACAACCTCAAACAGTCACACTCCAAACTCCACTATGGCCAAGACCAAAGAGCTGTCAAAGGACACCAGAAACAAAATTGTAGACCTGCACCAGGCTGGGAAGACTGAATCTGCAATAGGTAAGCATCTTGGTTTGAAGAAAACAACTGTGGGAGCAATTATTAGGAAATGGAAGACATACAAGACCACTGATAATCTCCCTCGATCTGGGGCTCCACGCAAGATCTCACCCCGTGGGGTCAAAATGATCACAAGAACGGTGAGCAAAAATCCCAGAACCACACGGGGGGACCTAGTGAATGACCTGCAGAGAGCTGGGACCAAAGTAACAAAGCCTACCATCAGTAACACACTACGCCGCCAGGGACTCAAATCCTGCAGTGCCAGACGTGTCCCCCTGCTTAAGCCAGTACATGTCCAGGCCCGTCTGAAGTTTGCTAGAGTGCATTTGGATGATCCAGAAGAGGATTGGGAGAATGTCATATGGTCAGATGAAACCAAAATAGAACTTTTTGGTAAAAACTAAACTTGTCGTGTTTGGAGGACAAAGAATGCTGAGTTGCATCCAAAGAACACCATACCTACTGTGAAGCATGGGGGTGGAAACATCATGCTTTGGGGCTGTTTTTCTGCAAAGGGACCAGGACGACTGATCCGTGTAAAGGAAAGAATGAATGGGGCCATGTATCGTGAGATTTTGAGTGAAAACCTCCTTCCATCAGCAAGGGCATTGAAGATGAAACGTGGCTGGGTCTTTCAGCATGACAATGATCCCAAGCACACCGCCCGGGCAATGAAGGAGTGGCTTCGTAAGAAGCATTTCAAGGTCCTGGAGTGGCCTAGCCAGTCTCCAGATCTCAACCCCATAGAAAATCTTTGGAGGGAGTTGAAAGTTCGTGTTGCCCAGCGACAGCCCCAAAACATCACTGCTCTAGAGGAGATATGCATGGAGGAATGGGCCAAAATACCAGCAACAGTGTGTGAAAACCTTGTGAAGACTTACAGAAAACGTTTGACCTGTGTCATTGCCAACAACAGGTATATAACAAAGTATTGAGAAACTTTTGTTATTGACCAAATACTTATTTTCCACCATAATTTGCAAATAAATTCATAAAAAATCCTACAATGTGAATTTCTGGAGAAAGAAAATCTCATTTTGTCTGTCATAGTTGACGTGTACCTATGATTAAAATTACAGGCCTCTCTCATCTTTTTAAGTGGGAGAACTTGCACAATTGGTGGCTGACTAAATACTTTTTTCCCCCACTGTACCTTTTTGGGTGTAGTCTGACATAAAACCCACAGAAGAAGAAGAAGATGGGGCGTTGAGGGAAAACCAGATTACCTAGTATGAAAAATGTATGCACTCACTAACTGCAAGTGGCTCTGGATAAGAGCATCTGCTAAATTACTAAAATGTCAATGTAAATTGGGTATCATATTTTCTAGGCTGTGATAACAGGAAATACACAAGCCATAGTGGAGGCTCATAATAATGGCTGAAATGGAGTCAATGGAATGGTATTAACCACATGTCACGTGTTTGATACCATTACATTGACTCCATTCCAGCCATTATTATGATCCGTCCTCCCCTCAGCAGCCTCCACTGGGCTATACAATAGCTCAATGTGGTCTACATCAGAATATAGGCTTGCACGGGAAAAACGGTCAATTCTAACATATATGGTTGAGATTTAATTAATATAAATATAAACTATGCACCTTATGACTTTCATTACAGTAACACGCATACGTTAGTATGATGACATGTTAGTTGCACGTTCAATGGTACGTGACAGCCACACAGTGGTACTGTTTGCCTAAACTGAATTATGGCCTGAAATACTCCACATCCCATAGCAGCTAGTATGTACAGTGTCGCTAACTAGCAAGCTAGCTAGTTCGGTAGCACACTGTGTCATCCTAACCTCCAGTCTGCTGTGCTAGTGGGAGGCGGGGACAACCGGTAGACAGTGTCCTTCGCACCCACCTGTCGGGCCAGTTTTCTCCGGTACACGGGAGGCAGGGGGCAACACTGTGTGCTAACTAGCAAGCTAGCTTTCTCCAATATAATCCTCTCCCCCTTGTCACTTTCACGAGGTTGGAGTAATAACATGTTTAAATACTTAAGACATTGGCTCGAATCTAGGTTATGACTTTAGATTTCGAGAAAATTAACAACTAAGGAATCATTTTTCACTTGTTGACTTCTCAAACCGCAGACTGGTCTGCTTCACAAGCATTCCCGGAAGTCTTGAGATTTAGCGTCTATGGGTTTAGAAACTCTGTGGTACAGGCACAGCTAGAACAATGAGAATCTTTGGTACAGGTTCAGAAACTCGATGGTAGCGAATCTGAAAAAAGGGAAGTCAATATACGTCATTTCCGGTGACGATAACCGCAATGACGCACTCCAGTGTTTTCAGCTGCAGACCGACATGAGATTTAACTATCTTCAAAGTAGCTAGTTGTCAAGAACAGCTATAGGACGGTTACATTGGCTTGTAATAAGTATCTTATAAGGACATGTAAAATGGTAATTCGCTCAGGGAAAACGGGCAGTATTTGTCACATATCGAGGGGAGTAGCATCCTTGCTCACGCGGACACATGCTTCTGCCCCGAGACGAGAGGCACCAGCACCAGTGTCTGACTCTGACAAGAGACCGAATCTGAGAGCCATCGACCTTGCACGCAAAATTCGCCAGGAGAAACAGAATGGAAAGGCAACTGGTGGTGGGTCAGAAGCGGCTGTCCCTAATCCGTCGGTGCCAGTGTCGCCACTGCAAAAGAGGGTCATCGAGCTGCGACAGTTCACGCAGCAACTGCAGAATGTTCACCCCAACGTTCTTGCCAAGCACCTTCACAGAGGTCTGATCCTCCCACATCCAGAGCTCGCCGTCATTAATAAACCCTATGGGGTTTCTGTTCAAGGTAAGGTGTATGAAGGTGTATTGAGTCAAACACAATCAAAGATTATGTGATAAATACGATTCTGTTCTTTTTAATGTCCCTTTAAGAACATACATATGTGCTAGAGCAGTGGTCAAATCAACAGTGATGTAAATCCCATATTCTTCCGCATAGATGGGTCAAGGGACAAAAACAACATCACCGACGTGCTTCCAATCCTTGCCAAGATGATGGATGGAATAAGGGCTGGGACTCAGCTGCACGTCTGCCTTGGATTGGACAAGGAGACGACAGGGACCCTCCTGCTGGCAAGGACTGAAGAAGCATTGGACTATGTACAAAACCTCCACAAAAACCACCAAGTGGAGAGGAAATATTGGTGTGGATTTAGTTTAAAATAAGGATCCAGGCTGCACATCATTCACATTTCAAAACCATCAATTGAGGGCAGCAAATGAACATAGAATATGCCATAAAGTTATTGCAATGACCCTGCCGTTGATAAGACATTACTGCTCCCCCAATGGAGCTTCCCCTTTTAGAAGCGGTAATGTCTGAATCTGGACCCAAGGGTTATTGGGCTCGATTCACGCCTCGGAACATCATGCTACTTCCTTGTTTCGTTACACTTTCAATAATTTTCCTTTCTCCCTATTCCCCATGCAGGGTTGTTGCTGTGGGTGTGCCTGTTCCCTCTGAGGGAGTGATTGACATTCCCGTCATAGAGAGAGAGGTCACAGGGGCTCAACCTCACTTCAAGGTAATGTCATATTTTGTAATATCTCTCAAATGCTGGCAATAGTTCTGTTGAAGTCTACTCATAATGACCAGTATTGTCATCCTGTCAGTCTTTCTCTCATTTGTATTGGTGGCTTTCAGTATACTGCGCTGTTCTTGAGGTTCTGAGCTTGACTGTCCAATATACACCTAACTACCCGTAACCCTTCTCAGATGGGCCTGAGTCCTGTGTACAGGGTGAGTGAAGGGGGCGAGGGAGTGACCAAAGTGCGGGCCAATCGGCAGGCCCAGGGTGCTGTGACCCGGTACCGTGTCCTGGACAGCAGCAACGGCTGCAGCCTGGTAGAGCTCCAGCCTGTCACAGGTAGTGACACTACTGAAGCTACTGACTCTGGTGTCGTTCCAAGTTGTTGGTTTTTGCAGTCACCCTGCACATCCCAAAATATTGCTATATAACATGACTGCAAAAAAAGACATGCAAACTTAATGTAAATAATAATATTTCTGCTTTAACAAAATGTTATGCTGTTTTCAAATGAAACACAATACCTTGCTCTTAAAGCTTTTAGAATTTGAGTCATGTTGTTGAGGGGTCTACCACACGCTAATAACACAGATTAATCTAGGTCCTAGAGGAAACTATGCACCATGTTATAGTAGCACCAATAACAACTTTGAACCATCATAGAAAGCGGTTCCCTCTCTCTTGCCCCATCTACCCTCTTGTGCTTCTAGGGGTGAAGCACCAGTTGAGGGTCCATATGGCGTACGCTCTGGGATCTCCTATCCTCGGAGACCACAAATACTCCCACTGGACCAAACTGGCACCCCAGGTAAGGCAAACGAACATCACCAGACTTCACAATGTAGATGCTTTACAAGGTAGCCTTTAGACCTCTTTGGTACCAGTCAGATAACATTACTGGCATTGTTTTTTTACATTTACATTTTAGTCATTTAGCAGACGCTCTTATCCAGAGCGACTTACAGGAGCAAATAGGGTTAAGTGCCTTGCTTAAGGGCACATCGACAGATTTTTCACCTAGTCGGCTCGGGGATTAGAACCAGCAACCTTTCGGTTACTGGCACAACGCTCTTACCCACTAAGCTACCTGCCGCCCTTACTTTAGAAACTGCCGGATGGTGTGTTGCGGAGGCTGGGACTAGAACAGAGCAAGGCGCGTTACCTGCCTCTCCACCTACATGCCCGTCAGCTGACAGTGCCAGAGTTCAAAGGTCAGAGTGACATCACGGTCTCCTGCCCCCTGCCGAAATATTTCACCAGCACTTTGCGACGACTGCAGATCCCGATTCCAGATGAGAAAGAGGAAGAATGACGCTTCAGCGGCTCCTGTGCAGACAGGATACAGAAGACTATTGCTTTAGAAATATGGAACAGCATCACTTCAAGTGACCCTTGGCCTAATGGTTGTTTAAGTTTGTACCTGGACTGGGAATTATAACTGTGACAAATAAAATAAATGAACAGTATTTTCCTAATTTCACCACAACGGGTCATCAGGTCTATTTTAAGAACAGGACCATTTCTTCATAGCGCAGAGACCATACAAAAGAGCAGCTATGCAGATTTGTTTGCACAGTAAATTCATTTGCAACTTTCATACAGATCTGTAAAATGGTGAACTAATGAATAGTGGTATTCATTGCAATCATTGAAATATCAGTGCAAACTCCACCCAACTGAGACAAACATTGCACAGTGCCTAATAACAGCAACTTGCTAATTCTGATAAACAAAAATATAGTTCTGGAATTCTGCCAACTTACTTATTATTTCACTGTGTACATTGACATATCACCAGATCCTACATTTGGACCTTTTTCTACCAGAGGATCTCGTGTGAGAGAAAATAGGGGGTTCAGAGATCTCACTACTTCTTCAAATCACTACTAATTAGTAGCCTGGTTTATTACCATTACATCCCAGTCATGTGTGAATACTGCAGCATATAACCTACTGTATTGTGAACTGTTCAACATCGGAGCGAAGGCTTGACATACTTAATGCACACACTCAATCTCAAATCACTCACAGTACAAAAGGCATGTTTGAAAACACAGGCGTTTCTTTAGCCTTCAACACCACTATAATATCAACACATACAGGAGATCTTCAGAAATGCCAATATCAAAAAATAAACAAAACGAGTGAGCAGAGGTCCTATTAAATGTCTAGGTTATCCTGCCATGTCTGGGACCTGAGAGCTTGGAGGAAAGAGGCAGAGGAAGGTCAGTGTGGTAAAAGGGGTACATGTCCATATATGTGTATAATATATTTAAGACTGAATTAGTACCGATATTTCAGCATCCATTTCTGCCTAATTCCGTTTTATTGGGGGGCTGCAATAGCCTACAAGATTACACGAGGAGCTCTGATTTACTGAGTTGGTCAAAATCCATCTGTCTCGTTAGTCCAGGGGAAAAAAATGATGGTGAAGTGAGGGGTTACACGTGTGACCAATGAAAAACAAAACAAAATCAGTCATTCAGGACTGGTCAATGAGGGTGACATAACTGCCATTGAACAGCCATTAAATGAATAAACATGGTTCTGTACTTAAAAAAGGCCCATAAATCCACAATGTAAACACTCACTCCCCCACTCCTGTGGTTGAAAGGTGTGATGGGTAGAGACTGAGGCCACTGGAGGTCCTTAGAGTTAGTCACTGAGTGAAGGAGGTACCACAAAGAGGAACACTAGAGAACGGCTGATTTTGTAGTTAAGTGTGTCCATTTCGGTTCCTCCTCCCCTCCCGGCTCAGTGCATGTTGGCCGACGACATAGCGATGGTCTCCTGGATCTCTCGCACCATGATGATGCGTGTGAGCATGTGCTCCACCTGCTCACTTGTGATTGGCTGAGTGGAGTACCATATGGGACTGTTGGGCGCCACGACGGGCTCTGGCGTCAGGTAGTACGCGTCGTTACGCCCCTTAGCGCTCTGGGGACTGAGAGACAGGCGATTAGTTGTTGCAGGGCTCTATGCTGACATTTCTTTCAAGAAGTACATGTTGATTTGATTAGATAATTAGAAATGCATATAAAAGGGCTCCCAGTAGAAAAATGCTCCGTTGTGTATTTAACACCAAGGAAAACATCACTCTGTGCAAGAACATCCTCTTAGCTGCTAGAAATGTACTGAGAATGGGGGCATTACTCACCATTTGAAGAGGTAAAAGTCATACAGTTTAATGGGGCATCGCAGCGGGTTTTCAGGATCCTCAGCCTGCTCCTCATACATGTCATCAGTCACTGCAAATCAAGTAACAATGAGGTCAGAACCAGCCAGTAGTGATGGGGCTTACGGACTTCATAATGTTGCCAAACTCGGTGAATCAGAGAGGCCCAATGAATTAGCCCCAAAGGAAAAGTTTTAAATGTGTGAAACACATAGCTGACTAATACAAGTCACTAAGTGACTGGGTATATGGAAATCAGGTCTGACTACAATATAAGAAGCTTAATTTTTCTTGACATGAAGTCAAACAAGATCTCACCTTTCTGCCCGGCATGGTGTGTCCCTAAGGGGCCATGGCCCTTCAGATAGCGGATACTGGTGCTCTTGTCCTTGGGGTTGGACGGGTTCTTCTTGGTGTGTCTTAGCACCTTGGAGAAGGCCACCTTCATGTGCTGCTCTACCGTCGTCAAATGGAAATACCTAACGCAGATAGGATTGTTTAATACCAAAACACACACTAGGCTTGAGAAATATACCGTATATACAGTTGAAGTCGGAAGTTTACATACACTTAGGTTGGAGTCATTAAAACTCGGTTTTTCAACCACTCCACAAATTTCTTGTTAACAAACTATAGTTTGGCAAGTTGGTTAGGACATCTACTTTGTGCATGACACAAGTAATTTTTCCAACAATTGTTTACAGACAGATTATTTCACTTATAATTCGCTGTATCAAAATTCCAGTGGGTCAGAAGTTTACATACACTAAGTTGACTCCGCCTTTAAACAGTTTGGAAAATTCTAGAAAATGATGTCATGGCTTTAGAAGCTTCTGATAGGCTAATTGACATCATTTGAGTCAATTGGAGGTGTACCTGTGGATGTATTTCAAGGCCTAGCTTCAAACTCAGTACCTCTTTGCTTGACATCATGGGAAAATCCAAAGAAATCAGCCAAGACCTCTGAAAGAAAATTGTAGACCTCCACAAGTCTGGTTCATCCTTGGGAGCAATTTCCAAACGCCTGAAGGTACCACGTTCATCTGTACAAACAATAGTACGCAAGTATAAACACCATGGGACCACGCAGCCGTCATACCGCTCAGGAAGGAGACGTGTTCTGTCTCCTAGAGATGAACGTACTTTGGTGCGAAAAGTGCAAATCAATCCCAGAACAACAGCAAAGGACCTTGTGAAGATGCTGGAGGAAACAGGTACAAAAGTATCTATATCCACAGTAAAAGGAGTCCTATATCGACATAACCTGAAAGGCCGCTCAGCAAGCAAGAAGCCACTGCTCCAAAACCACCATAAAAAAGCCAGACTACGGTTTGCAACTGCACATGGAGTACTTTTTGGAGAAATGTCCTCTGGTCTGATGAAACAAAAATAGAACTGTTTGGCCATAATGACCATTGTTATGTTTGGAGGAAAAAGGGGAACGCTTGCAAGCCGAAGAACACCATCCCAACCGTGAAGCACGGGGGTGGCAGCATCATGTTGTGGGGGTGCTTTGCTGCAGGAGGGACTGGTGCACTTCACAAAATAAATGGCATCATGAGGAAGGAAAATTATGTGGATATTTTGAAGCAACATCTCAAGACATCAATCAGGAAGTTAAAAGCTTGGTCGCAAATGGGTCTTCCAAATGGACAATGACCCAAGCATACTTCCAAAGTTGTGGCAAAATGGCTTAAGGACAACAAAGTCAAGGTATTGGAGTGGCCATCACAAAGCCCTGACCTCAATCCTATAGGAAATGTGTGGGCAGAACAAACCTGACTCAGTTACACCAGCTCTTTCTGGAGGAATGGGCCAAAATTCACCCAACTTATTGTGGGAAGCTTGTGGAAGAGTACCCGAAACGTTTGACCTAAGTTAAACAATTTAAAGGCAATGCTACCAAATACTAATTGAGTGTATGTAAACTTCTGACCCACTGGGAATGTGATGAAAGAAATAAAAGCTGAAAGAAATAATTCTCTCTGCTATTATTCTGACATATCACATTCTTAAAATAAAGTGGTGATCCTAACTAACCTAAAACAGGGAATTTTTACTAGGATTAAATGTCAGGAATTGTGAAAAACTGAGTTTAAATGTACAGTGGGGAAAAAAAGTATTTAGTCAGCCACCAATTGTGCAAGTTCTCCCACTTAAAAAGATGAGAGGCCTGTAATTTTCATCATAGGTACACGTCAACTATGACAGACAAAATGACAAAAATAAAATCCAGAAAATCACATTGTAGGATTTTTAATGAATTTATTTGCAAATGATGGTGGAAAATAAGTATTTGGTCAATAACAAAAGTTTCTCAATGCTTTGTTATATACCCGTTTTCTGTAAGTCTTCACAAGGTTTTCACACACTGTTGCTGGTATTTTGGCCCATTCCTCCATGCAGATCTCCTCTAGAGCAGTGATGTTTTGGGGCTGTGGCTGGGCAACACGGACTTTCAACTCCCTCCAAAGATTTTCTATGGGGTTGAGATCTGCTCCAGGACCTTGAAATGCTTCTTACGAAGCCACTCCTTCGTTGCCCGGGCGGTGTGTTTGGGATCATTGTCATGCTGAAAGACCCAGCCACGTTTCATCTTCAATGCCCTTGCTGATGGAAGGAGGTTTTCACTCAAAATCTCACGATACATGGCCCCATTCATTCTTTCCTTTACACGGATCAGTCGTCCTGGTCCCTTTGCAGAAAAACAGCCCCAAAGCATGATGTTTCCACCCCCATGCTTCACAGTAGGTATGGTGTTCTTTGGATGCAACTCAGCATTCTTTGTCCTCCAAACACGACGAGTTGAGTTTTTACCAAAAAGTTCTATTTTGGTTTCATCTGACATTCTCCCAATCCTCTTCTGGATCATCCAAATGCACTCTAGCAAACTTCAGACGGGCCTGGACATGTACTGGCTTAAGCAGGGGGACACGTCTGGCACTGCAGGATTTGAATCCCTGGCGGCGTAGTGTGTTACTGATGGTAGGCTTTGTTACTTTGGTCCCAGCTCTCTGCAGGTCATTCACTAGGTCCCCCCGTGTGGTTCTGGGATTTTTGCTCACCGTTCTTGTGATCATTTTGACCCCACGGGGTGAGATCTTGCGTGGAGCCCCAGATCGAGGGAGATTATCAGTGGTCTTGTATGTCTTCCATTTCCTAATAATTGCTCCCACAGTTGATTTCTTCAAACCAAGCTGCTTACCTATTGCAGATTCAGTCTTCCCAGCCTGGTGCAGGTCTACAATTTTGTTTCTGGTGTCCTTTGACAGCTCTTTGGTCTTGGCCATAGTGGAGTTTGGAGTGTGACTGTTTGAGGTTGTGGACAGGTGTCTTTTATTCTGATAACAAGTTTAAACAGGTGCCATTAATACAGGTAACGAGTGGAGGACAGAGGAGCCTCTTAAAGATGTTACAGGTCTGTGAGAGCCAGAAATCTTGCTTGTTTGTAGGTGACCAAATAGTTATTTTCCACCATAATTTGCTAATAAATTCATTAAAAATCCTACAATGTGATTTTCTGATTTTTTTTCCTCATTGTCTGTCATAGTTGACGTGTACCTATGATGAAAATTACAGGCCTCTCTCATCTTTTTAAAAGTGGGAGAACTTGCACAATTGGTGGCTGACTAAATACTTTTTCCCCCCACTGTATTTGGCTAAGGTGTATGTAAACTTCCGACTTCAACTGTACCATATACCAAGGTATTTTCAAATACCGACGGTATGACTTTCAATACCGCCCCCCCCCCCCCCCCCCCCCCCCCCCCCCCCCCAAAAAAAAAGGTTGGGGACCCCCTGAAGTTCTCGCGGGGGCGTGTGTGCTACGCCACTGCTTACGACTATAAATTAACTATCTAAGATGTGCCAAATAAATTATCTCCAGCTATGCATTTTGCTACCTTGCTTGATCTTGCCATCTATCCACAGAAGCTAGCTGTGGCTAGATGGCAAGATCAAGCAAGTTAGCAAAATGCTAGCAGAGAATCAATCCATCATGGATCAAGATCCCTGCTGTGTTGTGCATGCATGCAGCAAACTGTTAGCAGCCTTTTGAGATAGTTGTATATTATTGTATATGAGCTGGGTTGTCTGTCCTTGCAATTAGTTTATGTTCCCTTGCACTTGTTAGCATTTAGCTAGCATCCGCTATGGAATTTCGCTAATAATTATTAGCATTTGTTGGGCCCCCAATGTTTGGAAAGAAATAGCGCCCCTTGTGTACACCGACAGTAATACCATATAATCCCGGTATGGTACAGGAACGGTATGAAAATCTGGATACCGTCCAACCCTCTCTCTCACACACACTGACCTAGCATCCACACACACATCACCTCAGCTAACCTGCAGAAATAAAAACAACAGCCACTAACCTATATAATTACATTGTGGCTAAGAAAGAACAATTGAATAACAGCATTAGAGAGAAAAAGTTAGTGAGCATGTTGGTGTTGTGAGCAACCAGGAATATTGGTATCATAATCATGTGTCCAGATGATTTTGTGTCTGTGCTTTATTCTATAGCTAGAGGATTCTTGATATCTCTTGGATACATCTCCTGGAGTGATAAGTATAATCTTAGTCTTAAATCAGTTGTTGTCTAGTACTGTCTTTTTGCTAGCTAGGGATTTTTAAGTGCTGCCTGTCTTCCCAGTAGCCTACTTGGTGTGTGAACTGTTGACTGCTCATAACTTGCAGATTATTTTTGACATCAACATGGATTAAGGGGCAGGGCAATTTGTGACTGTTGTCGTTTTCGTAATCAGTGGCTGTATTGGAGGGGGAGTGGTTTCTCCTCTTCTAGGCAATCAGAAATTAGTACCGGGAGGTGTGCTCTTCACCTTTGCAAGGCAATTAGCAATTAGTACTTCAGTCTCCCCTGTTTTCTCAGCGGTGATCTCGTCGCAAAACTAAGACCGTTGCCAAAACAAAGACTGTTCTGCAGAGTTATTTGAGGAAGGAAAGAGAGGAAGGCTCCACACTCTCACTTCTATTTTCTTCCTCACACACCTGTCCATCTCCTCATTTGAATTCCTTGCGGTCATTTGTCCACTCAAGCGTAACATTCTTGTCATCTATTGCCCACCAGGTGCCCTTAGAGTTCCTCAAAGAGCTTGACACCTTGATAAGTTAATTTCCTGACGATGGCTCACCGCCGTTCATACTTGGCGACTTCAACCTCCCGACATCTGCCTTGATTTTTTTGTTTCCAACTCTCTTTCCCCTCCTTGCCTCTTGACCTCACCCTTTCCCAGTCCCCTCCCACTCAAAAGGCAGGCAATACGCTTGACCTCATCTTGACTAGAGGCTGTTCGACTACTAATCTCACTGCAACCTTCCATCTCCCTCTCTTCCAACCCTAGCCACTCAGCCCCTACCCAGATGGTCATGCACTAGCGCAATCTTCATTCTCTATCCCACTACTCTCTCCTCTTCTATCCTATCATCTCTCCCTTCTGCCAAATCCTTCTCCCTCCTGATTCTGCCTCTTTGACCCTACTCTCCTCCCGTTCCGCATCCTATGACTCGCACGGTCCCCTTTCCTCCTGGCCGGCTCTCCCCTCCTGCTCCATGGCTGAGTGACTCATTGCGAGCTTACAGAACAGGGCTGTGGGCAGCTGAGCGAAAATGGAAGAAAATGAAACTTCCGGAGAAGCTAATATCCTTTCACTCCCTCTTCCTCTGTATCCGCTGCCAGTTTCTATCACTCTACATTTCAAGATTCTGCCTCTAAAACAAGGAAACTCTTTTCCACCTCCCCCTCTGTGGACGACTTTGTCAACTATTTTGAAAAGGTTGACAACATCCGCTCCTCATTCACTCAGCCTATTGAGTCCACTGTTTCCACTAACACAGAACTCCACCTTGACCCCTTTTCCCAGTCTCTCTCCAGATGAAATCCAGTGACTAGTGAGGTCATGCCGCCGAAAACCTGCCTGTTAGACTCCCCCCCTACCATCTCTGGAGACCATCTCAATTCCCTCATCCCTGACCACTGGCTGTGTCACCTCTGACTTTAAAATTACCCGTTGCTCCCCTCCCCAAGAAACCAACACTCGACTCCTCTGACGTCAAACTACAGACCGCTATCCCTTCTTTCTTTTCTTTCCAAAACACTTGAGCGTGCTGTCTCTGACAAACTCTCTCGCTATCTCTCTCAGAACTATCTTATTGACCCTAACCAGTCAGGCTTCAAGACGGGTCTCTCAACCGAGACTGCTCTTCTGTGTCACAGAGGCTTTCCGCACTGCCAAAGCTCCCTCCCTCTCCTCTGTTCTCATCCTCCTAGATCTATCCGGTGCCTTTGACATGGTGAACCATCGGATCTCTCTGTACTTTGCTCCGTTAATCTTTCCCTCGATCCTGACTATTCTCCCAGTCCCTGAAAAACATCCCTACTGCATGATGCTGCCACCACCATGCTTCACTGTAGGGAAGAGTTCAATCTTGGTTTCATCAGACCAGAGAATCTTGTTTCTCATGGTCTGAGAGTCTTTAGGTGCCTTTTGGCCAACTCCAAGCGGGTTGTCATGTCAATTTATAAAGCCCTTTTTACATCAGCAGATGTCACAAAGTGCTATACAGAAAACCCAGCCTAAAACCCCAACAGCAAGCAATGCAGATGTAGAAGCACTCCTTTTACTGAGGAGTGGCTTCCATCTGGCTAAGCTACCACAAAGGCCTGATTGGTGGAGTGCTGCAGAGATGGTTGTCCTTCTGGAAGGTTCTCCCATCTCCACAGAGGAACTCTGTCAGAGTGACTATTGGGTTCTTGGTCACCTCCCTGACCAAGGCCCTTCTCCCCCGATTGCTCAGTTTGGCCGGGCAGCCACGTCTAGGTAGAGTCTTGGTGGTTCCAAACTTCTTCCATTTAAGAATGATGGAGGCCACTGTGTTCTTGGGAACGTTCAATGCTGCAGACATTTTTTGGTACCATTCCCCAGATCTGTGCCTCGACACAATCCTGTCTCGGAGCTCTACTGAGAATTCCTTCGACCTCATGGCTTGGGTTTTGCTCTGACATGCACTGTCAACTGTGGGACCTTATATAGACAGGTGTGTGCCTTTCCAAATCATGTCCAATTAATTGAATTGACCACAGGTGGACTCCAATGAAGTTGTAGAAACATCTCAAGGATGATCAATGGAAACAGGATGCACCTGAGCTCAATTTCGAGTCTCATAGCAAAGGGTCTGAATACTTTTGTAAATAAGGTATCTGTTTTTTATTTTTAATAAATGTGCTAACATTTCTAAAAACCTGTTTTTGCTTTGTCATTATGGGGTATTGTGTGTAGACTAATGAGGAAAAAACGTATTTAATCAATTTTAGAATAAGGCTGTAGTGTAACAAAATGTGGAAAAAGTCAATGCGTCTGAATACTTTCCAAATGCACTGTATGTAGTTGTCCCACCTAGTTATCTTAAGATTTTTTTTTACATTTTAGTCATTTAGCAGACACTCTTATCCAGAGCGACTTACAGTTAGTGAGTGCATACATTTTCATACTGGCCCCCCGTGGGAAACGAACCCACAACCCTGGTGTTACAAGCGCCATGCTCAACCAACTGAGCTACAGTAAATCGCTCTGGATAAGAGCTTCTGCTAAATTACTAAAATGTAAGTGTGTTTGTGTGTGTGAGACTCACTTAGTGTTGAAGAACATGAGTGTGGTAAGCAGCGTGGCTGGTGAATGAGCTCCTAGTTGTTTACACTCCCACAGCATCTCCTCTGTCACATGACTGGGAATTATGTACCCTGGGAGGAGAGAGCAGCCAATCACAATACGCTCTCCTCTCACAAGACAACGAGCAGCCCAAAGTACAGAAATGTACTCAGGTATGAAAGTCACAAAAATACACAACAGAATTGTGAGTTTCTATTGCACTTAACAAAAAGTTATCTGACTGTGCACACAACAATCAATGTTCCAATGTGCTTTGACAGTTCCACCCGAAGGCCTTCAGCAGGCTTTTACCTATACCATCTCTTGCACTTACACACAGAAACACAAAGACACAAACGCTGTGGCTCTTACCTAGTGGATGGATGCTGGGCCTCCACTCATCCAGGGCTTTGTGTAACCACTGGGAGAAGCGTGTGTAGTACTGGTCAGAGAAGATATCATCCACCCGTCCGTTTTCAAAGAGGTACTGTCAGCAGAAATAGAAAAACAACCTCTGTCAACTGTGATACATTTCAGTCAGTATCTTGTACCGTGTGTGTTTGTAGTATGATGATATGTCAGTGACAGTGTGTATGTGTTAGTGTCATGTGGTATGCATACCTTCTGTATACACAGAAATATGTAGTAGAGGGCGTCAGGCTCAAACCTTTCTCCCTCCAGCCCCTGGGCCTCCTGGGTCATGAGGGCCAGAGCCACGTTGAGCTCAGCCACCGCACTCGACACCAGGTCCTCCTGGAAGCGTAGGGCCTGCCGACCTGCACAAAGAGAGAAATTAATGATGGACACTTTTATCCAAACACTGACTAGAACATTCACAGTGACATATGTTCCGAATTAAGAATCAAACCCACAAGAGAAAGACAGAGAGATGCAGGAGAAAGAGAGAGACAGGAAGGGAGGAGAGAGTGAAAGAGAAGTTCACATACTTGGAGAGGGCAATTTAATGAGTGAGTGGGAGTGTGTTTAAACTCACGTCCGATGGGCGCCAGCGTGTTCTGCTCATCCTTGTCCAGCTCTGCGTTCTTGCGCTGGACCCAGAGGCGCCACACATCCAGGCCCTCCTCAGGCTTCAGGGAGATGGGCAGCAGCAGCTCATGGGGGGCCTCAACCTGGGACTCTGACTCGATATTACCCTGCAGGGGGACACAATAGAAGTGAAATGTTAGAAGAGAAACATGCACACTACATGCTTTGCTCATTTGTGGTGCAGGGAATTACATATTTCCTAAAATACCTTCAAGGGAAAAAAGACAGCACTGAGGACATAAAACTGGAGACAGTGAATAGGTGTCCATTAATTGAACCAATCATATCCTGCTTAACTGGGAGAGACCACGGACTTAATCTACAACATAATCTAACAGTCCAACATGTTCATTGTTCATCAATCCAACATAATAGTCATAAAACAAAAACCTACATTACTGTTGTGGAAAACCTTGAAATCTGAGGTAAGGACAAAGTCAAGGTCTAACCCAAGGGGTGTAGGTCCTGTTCTGACCTGTAGGTGGAGCTGGTGCTCCTGGTGTTCCTGCTGCTGCTGGGGATCCCAGATGTGAAGCTGCTGCGTGCTATTGTAAGCCCCGCCCACCGTCTGCACCACCACAGGGCAGTGAATGTTCCCGTTCATGAACTGTGCCGGGAACAGCGTCTGCACCACTTCCTCGTTCGTTGTCCCGGACACAGACACCGTGCCACCCGACAAGGCACCCGACGACGAGGAGTGGGCCACTCCATTGTCCTTGTTGTCATGGTGACCGGAGGAGGACACCTGCATCGTGCTGTAGGCCTCCTGGGGAATGGCGATATGATGTACGCCCCCCTGCTGCCCCCCAGAGTATACAGGGATGGTCCAGGTCTCCCCAGCAGGGCCTGTGATGGTACCCGTAGTGCTGTAAAGGTGGGTGCTGTCCACAGTGAGCAGGTCTGGCCGGATGGACAGGTACTGCTGCTGCTGCCCCTGCCCTTGGGGGAGGGCCAGAACCACCTGCTGGCCCTGCTGGCTCTGAGGGAGGGCATAGGACACCTGGATGGGGACGTCAACCTTGCGCTTCTTGGCGGGTTGGAGGACGCCAGCTCTCCTCTCTGCCTCTCGGGGAGAGCCCTGCTGCTGCTGAGGAGACATGGCCTCCACCGTCTGGATCTGGATCTGCTGGCCTCCCTGTAGTTGAATTTGTTGACCGCCTGGTAGCTGAATGTGCTGGATTTGTTGCCCGCCTTGTAGTTGGATTTGTTGCCCGCCTTGTAGTTGGATTTGTTGCCCGCCTTGTAGTTGGATTTGTTGCCCGCCTGGTAGTTGGATTTGTTGCCCGCCTGGTAGTTGGATTTGTTGCCCGCCTGGTAGTTGGATGTGTTGACCGCCTGGTAGTTGGATGTGTTGACCGCCTGGTAGTTGGATGTGTTGACCGCCTTGTAGTTGGATGTGTTGACCGCCTTGAAGTTGGATGTGTTGACCACCCTGTAGGTCCCCTTGAAGCTGGATTTGTTGACCTCCTTGGAGCTGAATTTGCTGACCCCCTTGTAGTTGAATATGCTGGATTTGTTGACCTCCTGACACTGCTGCCACCAACTGGGCCTGGATCTGAACGAGACAGAACAAATACCTAAGCCTGGTGTATACAATACCTATACATTTACTGGGTGAGGAGAGTACATGGATGGGGTGTGTGTGTGTGTAATAATGCAGTCGTGTGTGTACCTGTTGGTGCTGCTCCTCTGTGAGCTCTCCTTGCTGGACCAGCTGTGCTGCTGTGGGGATGCCCTGGAGGTCTACCGTCTGGTCCTGCTGCCCCTGGATCTGCACCTGACCACATAGGGAATGAGAATGCACAGTGCACCACCATCCATCACATGCCACATGTCTGAGTGTGGTGAGGGTCGGTGTTTCCCTGACAACTGTATTTTAATTTGAACATTTAGGTTACAGGCCCTGGATGTCGATAAGGAGGCCTTTGGGTCCAGTCTGGAAAATAATTTAGTGGAAACATTGCTTATGGTGTAATAGGTAGGGTGAGTGAGGGAAGGTCTCACCTGTACTTGTATTAGCTGCTCAGACCCCTGGTGCACACCAGCAGCCATCTGGGGTGAGATCTGTGCAGAGGTCACCTGCACCTGTTTATCCACAGGAGAATCAATCAAATACAGATCAAAAGTGACAATGAGATAGGTGCTGCCAGTGTTTAAGTATGAGTTGGACTTTACTCTCAATTTGGTCAATTGATCTGTTATTCATAGTATATAGACTAGATAAGGGCAAAGGGCACTCGGCAGCCTGAGGAGTATTCAAAAAAAATTAACTACTGAAGGAACCACGTAAGGAGGTCTCTCCTCTTACCGGACAGGCCAGCTCCAGCAGCGAGCCAGCCACCTCTGTGCTGTCTGTGTAGACACAGTTGCCCCCCTGCTGGTAAACCATGGTGGTGGTAGTGGCGGCGTCGCCCTGCTGTCTGAAGTCCTGCAGCGTCTCGGGGCCCTTGTTGGCCAGGGACTCAAGGAACTCCTTCATACGGTGCTGGGGCACGCTGCGGGCCTTCTGACGCACGTACTCGTCAAATGAGACCACACCGCTCTCTACGGGCTCGTTCATGACAAGTCACTCTGCCCTCCACGGTGCCTGGTGAGGAAGGAAAGGACATAGTTAACACACCTGTCCAGCATCACAGGTCAAGAACTGGGCAGCAATATCACATCCTTTAACTCTGGTGTCAATAGACTGCAGCCACAGTCACCAGTACAACCTCACACACATCAGTGCCATGTTCAGTAGCCAAACGTGCTCGAACGTTGCAAATAAATGTCATGAACCGGTTCCAAAACGTTGTGTCCGGCTGAAGGAGCCCCAGTGTCTATTAGACATTTAAAGGCCCAGCTACCCAACTGTTTGCATAGAGAGAAATAGTAATGGCATCTTTTTGTAGGCACTAACTCCGCCATGGTTCATAGCCTATGGAGAAAATGAATGGCGTTTTTGGAGGGTTTTTGGATAAATGCCGAAAATAAGGTCTGGTAAACAGAGGCGTTTTATTCTATAAAATAATCTTTATCAGCTAACACCACTTTGTGAATTTTGATGCATTTATGTAATAAAAGAAGCATAAAGCACATAACGGCTTCGTAATAGTCATGTTAACTGACTGATTATCTCATATAACAAAACGTCTAAGAGCTCCTATGCCTGTGTTAACCTCAGAATTTATTTTCGGGGTTTATTTCAAAAGCCTATTAATTCCCAATTTATTTTCCCCATAGGGATTGCTAAACGAACCTGAGGTAACACATTTCCGGGTTTTAGGACTACAAGGACTACTTATATTCTTGCTGCCTAGTTTAACTACTAAAATCCCACAATCTGAATGAAGATAACATTTGAAAAAGAAACGTGTACTTGAGTGATGAATATACGTGCAACTTCTGCAAAGCATTCTTCAACAATACCTAGCTAACTAGTTGCTAACATTTTCTGACGAGCTAACTAGCTAGCAGTACATCTTCCCATGCTACCTTAAATAAAAACCAAAACCCATCCGTTCCACCAAGGCACGGCGTTCAAAAGTAAAACTCGATAAACCCCAAGTCATTTGCTTTCCACGTGCCATTTGTTAGTATTGATTGTATAGCGATGCAATGGATTGCAAGAATTATGAAATTGAACAGTTAGCTAGCCAACTAAACAATATCGGAATTAGCTTGCTAGCCAGCTACGTGACGTGTGCTCATTTCGGCTATATTTACCCTTGTTTCGAATAGAACAATGTGGGGGTAAATCCACACGAAGAATTTGGCTCGCGCACAGGTTTATCCAGTAGAATTCCGAGCGTTTGGGGAAAATATGTGTCTTAATCGATACATAGAAAATTACGGAAGTAGGCCCGGTGGAACAACGTGAATCCCGGACTGCTCTGACAAGCAACGGCCGCATCAGACATGGCGAGGATTGATTCGGTGGTCATTTACCGCAAATTCCACTTACAAAGGCGAGGCAACAACCATAGACAGTCATTGACAACAACGCGTTTCATTTTTACGGGAACGAGCATTGGGGACCCTAGATTGGTGCCAGGCAAGACAACTATTTTCTTATTGCACGAAATACATATGACTGTAAAGGTTCGTATTTCAATTAAATAAATATGTCAACTGACAAGATTAAACTGTGTGTGTCTGTACAGTCAATGAGTGTGTTGTGATAATACATTTTAAATAAAGTTGGACATGCCTTGTAATTATTCAAACGATTAATTCTCTGCATTTTCTATAGATTTCAACAGCGATTCCCCAGAACCTGATTTCGAGTCCAGCTCGTCCACGTGTATCGTGCGCATGTACGCGAACAGGGCTCCAAGGTGCATTGCACGGGTGCGAGTGTTGTGGTACAGACGCTGAGATATAATAACAACCCCCACCCATACCCCCTGTATTCTAATCTAGCGGTCTTATCTGTTCTTTAAATTGTGATGTGTCTTGAAGGTCATCGCAGCTTTTGTTTATTTTATTAATAACTAGCACTTTTATTTCAATACTTTGCAATTTCCTACACAGTTGTTGGAAGGCGCCATTTTACTTTCAGCTTGAATGGGCACGTATTCTCGCGAGTACTCGCTTGGAAAGGGTCACGAATAAGGCATGCATGCTAGTAGCAGAAAGGATGCCAGTCTTGAGGTTCAATATAATTATACAATTATAGGACTATTATATTTTATTATATTCAAAGAATCAGGAATTTGTGGCATGTCAATTAAATATTTTTAGTAGGCTACGTAGATTAACTAATGCACACTTTGCTTTCATCAGATATGAATCTCACCTATCTTAGTTTTTCACTGTACATTCTGAAACTTACCAAACACCTTTCAAGGCTCGAATGCAACCCTGGTTCCTAAAGCACTGTTAGAAATGCCAAAATAAATGAATATATCAATAGTACAATGAGCTGTACATGCAATCCTGTGGCTGCCACGGTAAAAAAAAGAAAGAGTTTGCATTACAAAACACAGGCTACAATAATAATTTTTCAGTTGGCCTATTGTTGGGCGAAAAAACATCCATATGTTAAATCCTAATGTTTTAAGGTAAAAGTGAGTGTTAAACTGACTGTTAAGGTTAAGAAAACCTCATTTTTGACCCTTGCACGCTGTTTAATTTTGTTCAGAAGTTAATATTCAAGGTCCATCTGAATGTATACCCTTTTGTGTGTGTATGTGCCTTTAAACAGGAATACAACTGCCCCAGTCTGCCTTAAAGAGCCAGGCATGTGCTGGTGAGGCTCTCCCCACAACAGGCTGCCTCCCAGCTCTCTTAAGGTGGACCAGAAGAGATGTGTTGAATGTGTATAGTACCTTGCAGTAACAATGGACGGGAAAGAGTTAATTCCCACGGTCTCTCCTCTAGCCTCTTTGTGATCTCATGGAAGGCTGTCCAGTGGATATGATGATCGCTCTCTTCCCCAGATCACTTCTTATACACCGCATCGCATCTAATAATAGGGTACATACACACACACACACACACACACACACACAACACCCCTCATATAAAGGTCAATTCACATGAGGTGTGTATGATGAGAGGTCGGACTGATCACAAGCTGTACGATACATGACAACCTGTTATGACTTGTTCACAGCATAAGCAACACATGCCACTATGTTACAACTGTGGAATGAATGAGAGGCCCACACATGGACTATTGCTGCTCCTAGTGCTTTTTCTTGCACCCAAAAACACTAGGTTTCGACTTCACTGAAGTCTTTGTCCAGGATATATTACGATTGACCTAAAACTATTTACATCTCTTAGTATTCCTCATCACTTACTGTATCATGTTAGTTTAGTATAAGAATAAGAAGAATGTTTTATTTTAGTGTGTACATTAATGTGTTTTATTGTGTATGTCACTGTCTAAAAATGCATCTTCAGTTCTTTGTAGGCTAGTCTGTATTTGTGGGTTGACAGTGCCACCTGTCCTCCTTAGGTCAGTGTCTGCCTGAGGTAAGTCCCAGCATACTGTCAATAAGCCATGATCTTGGCGTCAAAACAATAGGTGTGTTAGTGCGGTGGAAAGGCTAGGGCAGCATGTGTTAACCCCTCATTATGAGATAAGACTAATGTGCTCACACACACTGCCTGTACATAGAAACAAACTGTATGAACACGTATAGATACATATAAACCTTCTAAAACACATATAGACATTACATTCATATGTGTATTCTCATATTTACATAATACTGTAACAAATTAACTGTGTATCTATCCATATTCTGCATACCGTATCACCCCACTACACTGAAATACAATACAGAATACACACATCTACCTATTCCTATCATAACTAAATCATTTCCTCTATGCATTTGTAAATCTTTGTGTCTGTGAGGTGTGTGTGTGTGTGTGTGTTTTGTTCTCTACTGTCCTTATGCACTGCTGGTAACTTTGTGCCACTCTAATGATCTTAATGTCATCCTTGACTGATGAGATTACAGAACACAGTTGTGATAAGGTATGTAGAGGAGAGACTGAGCATCACTATAACAGATCCACTCAGTACAAACAGGACAACTATAAACAGCTACACTTGACCCATGAGACCAACGGGAGAAAAGGGAAAGCCAGTGTGTTACCCAACAACACGACAAATGTAAAGCAGAAGTCTAAAGTATGAGAGGTAGAGGGGAACGGCACCTCCGTACCTTCAGGCTCTGATCAGTCCCTACACCCAAACGAGGGCATTGCGTTCATCCACCTCTGGCCTGCTGGCTCCCCTACCTCTGTTGAAGCACAGTTCCCGCTCAGCCCAGTCAAAACTGTTCGCTGCTCTGGCACCCCAATGGTGGAACAAGCTCCCTCACGACGCCAGGACAGCGGAGTCCCTCACCACCTTCCGGAGACATTTGAAACCCCACCTCTTTAAGGAACACCTGTGATAGGATAAAGTAATCATTCTAACTACAGAGCCCCACCCAAAAAAAAAAAAAAAAAAAAAAAATGGTCAAGTGGTTATCCCACTGGCTATAAGGTGAATGCACCAATTTGTAAGTCACTCTGGATAAGAGCGTCTGCTTAATGACGTAAATGTAAATGTAAATGTCCTTACACAGCTCTCTGGTCTTGGCCATTGTGGAGAGGTTGGAGTCTGTTTGATTGAGTGTGTGGACAGGTGTCTTTTATACAGGTAACGAGTTCAAACATGTGCAGTTAATACAGGTAATGAGTGGAGAACAGGAGGGCTTCTTAAAGAAAAACTAACAGGTCTGTGAGAGCCGGAATTCTTACTGGTTGGTAGATGTGGTCCTCTGTAGCTCAGCTGGTAGAGCACGGCGCTTGTAACGCCAAGGTAGTGGGTTCGATCCCCGGGACCACCCATACACAAAAAAATGTATGCACGCATGACTGTAAGTCGCTTTGGATAAAAGCGTCTGCTAAATGGCATATTATATTATATTATTATTATATTATTATTATTATATTATTATTATATTATATATTATATTATTATATTATATATGATCAAATACTTATGTCATGCAATAAAATGCAAATTAATTACTTAAAAATCATACAATGTGATTTTCTGGATTTTTGTTTTAGATTCTGTCTCTCACAGTTGAAGTGTACCTATGATAAAAATTACAGACCTCTACATGCTTTGTAAGTAAGAAAACCTGCAAAATCGGCAGTGTATCAAATACTTGTTCTCCCCACTGTATATATATAAAAACATGAGGGATTGGAAGTGATGCAGACAATTACATTGATGGAAGTTACAATCTATCTGCAATATTAAGCTGATCTACCCCCCCCCCCCCCCCCTCCCCCCCCCCCCCCCCCCCAAAAAAAATATATATATATCATTTAAAAAATAGTACGCCATCCGGTCGTTTAAAGTATACTTGATTTTTATTTGCATACTCAAACAGCGTACAATTTAGGACGCACATAGGGATATTCGGACACATCCATTTAGTCCAAAATGGAGTGCTCTGCCTTCCTGCTGCTACACCCTATAGCAGCTAGCCACCTCCCTCACTTTTTCCTGTGTTGTTCTGCAGGTCTTCTGCAGGGTCTGATTGCTAATAAGAGCAATGGCATGGCTCTTATCTTTCTCGCTGGTGTTGACTGTACTGCTTCACTGCTCACCTGGAAACATTATTAGGACTACCTCTACCACACCCTCATCCAGCAAATCTGACCATGTCCCACTCCCGGTATTCTCCAACCCCCTCAGCACCAGCTCCAAAATGGGCACAACAGCCCCTAAACTCACCACAATACAACAGCCAGGGACAGACATCCTTCTGCCCACCGGCAGGATGCAGGTGCCAGGAAACAAGATTGCCAGTATGGAGGATTTAGCTGGGGCATTGATTGGCACATCATATGGCAATGACGAGTCTATGGATGGCAGTGGACCTGCAGACATGGTTATAATAGAAGGTAAACAAGAGACAGAGCCACCTGCCAGCACACTTCTTATCACTTCTGCGCCTGGAAAAGAGGAGAATAAAGCAGGGGAAGTTGATGTGCACTCCTCCACCCCTACTTCTCCCCCACTCCCTCCCTTGCCCCAAAAACAGACCCAAGAAAGTGTCAGTACAGTGGAACCAGTTGGCTCACAAACGTCAGAGGATGTGCGTTCACCAGCCAAGATCCCACTGGCCAAGCTCACACTTATAGCTACATCTATAATAGATTTGTGCCCCGTAGGTAACAGATCTATAATAGATTTGTCACCTGTAGATAACAAAGACAGTGGACTCAAGGTGGAACCTGAGTATCCTACTGTAGATATCTCTGAACAAATGGAGCCAACTGTCAACTCGACACCAGATTTTTGTATTTATCCAAACCCATTCACTCATCACAGCTCCCAGCAATCTCCTAAACACACAATTACAGAGGCCACTCTGAAGAAGAAGAAGGACTTGGAGCACTGGAGGAGAATGAGGAAGAAGATGTGGTTGTGTTAAAATACATTTTTGTGATTGACTCAATGGTTCCTGTAAGAAGCAACATACGGGCAAAACAGTCCCACTCCTCCACCCTGTCATCGGCCATTGTGAGAGAACAGTTTCAAACAGGTAAGGGTAAAACAGTTAACAACGCAATCTTATCTGTTTTATTATAATTTTTCACAAAACATCAAAGCATTTCCTCTTCCATGTGCTTGCTCCTTTTTCTTCAGACAGGGAACAAACTCGATCCATTCCTGACATACAAACATCCGAGTCGTCGGCAGCATCATCCCCTGACGTGAAAAAAACACGTCGGATCCTGTCACGGGCCGTCCTGACTGCCCTCTACAACCTGCCTCTGCCGCTGCTGCTGTGGGCACAGGTTGCCCTAGCCATGATGGCTCTGCGAGGGGCCAACCTGAATCTGCTTTCCCCAGCGCTGCAGCGCCCCCGTGTTTTGGGAAGTCTGGCAGTATTACATTGCACTCTGCTGCTGGCAGCCGACCTGCTCTCCCCAATGCTGCCCCCTGCCCTCCCTCTGGCACTACAGAGCCTCTCTCTCTGCTGGGTCCTGCCCCTCTGCCTGGGCATTCTCACCCAGTCACTCTTCCACCTGCACCCCTTTTCTAAGACCCCCATACCCCAGTGGGGGGCCCCTCAGAGGATTGAGGAGCGTGTGAGGCGTGTGACAGCGGTGTGTGCCCTCCTGGTGGGTGCTGTGCTCCGGCCTGCAGATCTACAGCCTGCTCTGGCTCTATGGGCTGCTGGGGGACTGGAGGCACTTCGGCTGGGGCTGGTGGCTGGGCCAGTTCTGGGCTCGGGTGCTCAAGCTTTCTGGGGCTTCTCTATGCTGGTGCTGAGCTCCTGCGTGTTCTGGACTCCCCGGAGGAGCCATGTTTGAGTGACCACAGCCAAGGGAGGGCAGAGGGAGCGTCGTTTTGGGACAGGTTGCAGAAAACCCTGCGGCTGGGGCCTTTCACGAAGTCAGAGAACAACTGGGCGGAGCTCATGCCGAACAACTGGGTGTGGCAGCATCACTCGAAAGCAGACAGCGGCTCCATATGCCGTGTCTATGATGATCCCCCCACCACAGACAGTCTGAGAGACACCATGTCACCATCTCGTCATAAGGGTGGAGGAGGACCCACTGCCATCAGCAACCCTCCCCTACTGTGGCAGCGGGTGGGTGAGCACGAGTGCATCCTCTCCTTCATTGAGTTCGACATGCGTCCGTTGTCACGATCAACCTCAGCATCGACAACGCGCTCCACCGTGATCACGGACACCTGTTAGGGGTGGGCAGCCACTTCACAGCCCCACCCCCTTCTTCCTGGACCCACCAAGCTGGGGCTGACGCTTACATCTCACTGGGGGACAGTGAGATCACACCCGCCTCTCACACCTCTCATGGTGGCTATGGGTGGGTGCTGGACGCTGGTTCCATGCCTGCAACTCCTGACCATTTCAAAGCCAAGGAGCAGCCAAAGCCAGAGCCTCATCCACAGTCATTGGAGGCTTCTGATCAGATCCTTCAGCCATATCCAACCCCTGAGCACCAGGAGGAGGAGGTTCCAGACAATGATGTAAACATGTCTATAGTTCCAGACAAGGTGAATGAGCCAGGGGTCACTCAGGAGGATGACGGGTCCAGCATGGGCTGCAGTGATGACGTTACAGACCTATGAGCTGACAGTGATGTCATCTTCACCTCATCACCTCAGCCAATGCCCATGTCACTTCATATCAGTACTTCCAATCCACACTGTTGACAAGGGAACTGCTCCACACAGAAGTTTTCCACTTGTTTACTTTGAATAAAATCATATTATGCCATGTTAGAATCCCCATGGGACAACTGGAGTAGTAGATGATTGCCGATTGGCTAGGCTATTTTAAAGATATAAAAATATTCTGTATTGTTTTTCAGCAATTTTTATTATATACACTGACTTTACTTGAACAATTTTCTCTGAATAAATATTTCCATCAAATAGAAATACATGTACCAAGTATTATGATCAAGCGCAAATGTTTATTTTAAATTATTTGTTCTGTATGAAGTTATAATGTTCATTGTGATGTTTTTCCCATTGTATTATTAATTTCAGTGGACAGTGTGACACAATGATGAATAAAACTAAGTTGACCACATATATCATGTTTTTATGTTTCTGATTAAATAAATAAAACGTTAAATCCTGAATCCTGAGTGTTATTGCAATAATTGTGGTTTATTATACAGACCTAGGCTGGTTTAGATCCCTGCTCTAATAAAAGCGATAAGAGCAGAGGTTAACAGTTCGTACAGTCTATAACTGGAAAGATAGACTACATAAAGAAGACACAATAACAATCATAATTAAAAATCAAAAGTTTATGTGCCATACTAATTGACTAATTGATTAACTAGCCTCATTGATTGATTAGACCAGATGACAGTGCTTCAGGAGGTTCTGTGAGTCGAGAACGATAGAGAAATGCACTGTGAACAGACATACTTTATGGTTCTGTCATGTAGTGGTGTTTGGCACCTCAATTGGCCTGCATTTCTATCTGCAACTTTACGGTGCACGCTACTAATTAGCATAATGAATGTCACCAACCGAGCTAAATTCTGATTGGCCTTTCAATTAGGCAAGCTGTTTAAATTTGGGGCAACTTCTACCAGAGTCCTCAGTGAACTCGGCATGCATATAGGCGCTATTGCAAATAATTTTGTGTGCACCACCATGCGAAAAGCGATCAGAGATGTGATGTCATGGAAACAGCCTATATTGTATTTTACCGTGATCGCAACGCTCAACTCTGTGTTAATCCCTTGCTATGGCCAGATTCCAGACGCAAGCGTTCCAATGCCAAAAAATGCCAACACTGATCAGACAATTGTCCGATCTGGTAGGCTTGTAGTTGGGAATCACTTCCAACTGAGAAGGGTGGGTCTCGTGGTAACCAATGATGAATCCGCCGCTTCTGACCGCATCAAGACTCAAAACGGATCTCTTGCATTTGAGACTGGTTATCAGGCTGAACAACCTGCATCACAAGGTAAGCCACCAGGCCTTTTTAAATGTTTACATCATTTTACCCTGGAAAGGGGCAATCTGGGATCATAAACAAAAGCTTGTTACTCCATTTGTTTGTAAATAATGTAGTCTAATGCTATAAAGCTTCAACACATAGTTGGAACTATGATTTTGATTTCATGGCTGGTCGGTCTTTGCATCCACAGCTGAACTCTGACTTCCAGTGGATACATTTGTTCAACCCCATCCTAGCTACAGATTGTAACACCAGCTAATGTAACCAACACATTTTGGACCATTTATACTGGTAGTCACAGGTGTGGCTATACAAAACGTTGCCAGAGCTGAACTAACCTGGTACTGGCGACAGTGTCTTCATCCTCGATTTTGGGAAATGGTTTCAAATGTCAGTGTCCAGTTGCAGGGGGTCTGTTTGAATTTAGAAAATTCTTATTAACAAATGTTTTGGTCCCTTAAGTAATCAATAATGATGTGGAGGATGCCTTTGTTTGAATCCCAGGTTGGCCCCTTTTAAAGAAGGAACATGTTTGAGCCTGTACATATCCTGTTTATTCCCTCTCCCAGAATGGCACAAGTTGGATGCTAAACTCCAGCACATGGGGCCATCAGTACAGTGTAGCAACTATGCAATGACCCTTCGGGTCAAAGGGTGGAGAGCTCCACATTTTCTGGTCGACAATGGTAAGTAGAACGCGGCCAATAAATAAGGAATATGTTAAACACTGACGCTGCTTATGCAGGTAAATTGCTGAGTCCCAAATTAGTAGTTTTAGCCTGAGGTATTTCTGTCTTATGCAGGTGACGGGTCTCCTGTTCTTCCGCTGTCCCGGATGCCATCTCATTGTGGCTTTTCTGTAAAGAGGTCACGCAGAGATGTAATGTTTGTTGCACCATACCTAGGCTGCCATGTCACTCAACAGGTGACATTTCCTCCATGGAGGCTTACTGCTTTTACTTTCTAAAAATTAACTCTTGAATAATCTCGTACTGCTGAATGTTGAGATTTTTTTTAGCCCCTATTCACATGTTGGCCGTTATACCACATTTACAGGGGTTGCATCATGACATTAAAATGCTTTCCTCCATACAGGGGGGTAACTATGTTCTGCCACTGCGTCTGTGGGGGGCACCCATGACCATGTCTTGTCCTGTTGCACCACCCCCTCCTCCCCCCTCTGTCTCCTGCTTTTTATCTGGCATGGTGGTGAAGCTTCCCATGGCAGCAAATGCTCTTAAAGTCAAAGGTGGGTAATTCTTTGACATTGTGTTTGAGTGCACATGGTATATTTGGGCATATAAAACAAGTTTTAAATAGAACCTATGGTGAATGAATGCTGATCCAAAAGGACAGCTTCAAGAATTTCTATCATTGGTTGACAGTAGACTGGTGTGTGTCTACAGTCGTGTCTATTCTGTTGCGCACACTGAAATTGATGTATTTCAGTGTCTGGTGTGTGGGAGGGACTTCTCTCAATCTCCCAGCAATGTGGCTTAACCATAGAGCCATTCTTTGGAGGAGTGGTGATCACTGCACCATACACAGGACCCTGTGTGGAGTTGGAGGTAATCTGCACTGCCATCTTGTGGTCATGAAAGGGAGCAAATAGTCACTTACATTTGGGTTATTTCCTGACTTTATATATTTATTTATTTTACTCAGGATGACGAGCATTTGCTTTCTATGCTCTCGGTTGCTGGGGAGCTCACCATCTCCTGCCCTGCAGGCCTCCCTCAAACTGAACCTGTTATTCCTGGATACCCTCCGTTCTACCAGTTGTCCCAGTACCATTTCCCTCTGTATCCCTCTCGACCCTCTTTCCCAACAGCAGCAGCCACTACCACACCTAAACCCACCCATTCCCCTAAACCTTCTAGCCAGGCCACACATATGCCACCTAAAGGATACCCCCAGGTCCCACAAATGCCTGACTTCCACACGTTTTACCCATACCATTTTCCTCCGCATCCCCTTCAAAAACCGTATTTCCCAACATCAGCCCCCACTACTACCACACCTAAACCCACCCATTCCCCTAACCCTTCTAGCCAGGCCACACATATGCCACCTAAAGGATACCCCCAGGTCCCACAAATGCCTGACTTCCACACGTTTTACCCATACCATTTTCCTCCGCATCCCCCTCAAAAACCGTATTTCCCAACATCAGCCCCCACTACTACCACACCTAAACCCACCCATTCCCCTAACCCTTCTAGCCAGGCCACACATATGCCACCTAAAGGATACCCCCAGGTCCCACAAATGCCTGACTTCCACACGTTTTACCCATACCATTTTCCTCCGCATCCCCCTCAAAAACCGTATTTCCCAACATCAGCCCCCACTACTACCACACCTAAACCCACCCATTCCCCTAACCCTTCTAGCCAGGCCACACATATGCCACCTAAAGGATACCCCCAGGTCCCACAAATGCCTGACTTCCACACGTTTTACCCATACCATTTTCCTCCGCATCCCCCTCAAAAACCGTATTTCCCAACATCAGCCCCCACTACTACCACACCTAAACCCACCCATTCCCCTAAACATTCTAGCCAGGCCACACATATGCCACCTAAAGGATACCCCCAGGTTCCACAAATGCCTGACTTACACACGTTTTACCCATACCATTTTCCTCCGTATCCCCCTCAAAAACGGTATTTCCCAACATCAGCCCCCACTACTACCACACATTCCCCCAAACCTGCAACCCAGGCCCTGCATATGCCACCTAAAGGAGACCACCAGGTCCCACAAAAGCCTGACTTCCACACGTTTTACCCATACCATTTTCCTCCGTATCCCCCTCAACAACCTTATTTCCCAACATCAGCCCCCACAACTACCACGCCTAAACAAACACATTCCCCTAAACCTACCCAGGCCCTACATTTGCCACCTAAAGGATACCCCCAGGTCCCACTGAGCTACCAGTTTCCCCAGTACAATTTCCCTGGGTTTTTCCCTCAACGCTCTGTCCCAAGAGCACCCCCCACCACAGCCAGCCAACCGGAAAAGAACCAGAATAACGCCCAGAAATACCATTACTCTGCTTTCCCCTACACCTACCGTCAAAATTCGGCCAATCCTCCAGTAACTGCTACCACCCCCCCTGGCACCACTCCCCAGGCCCAACCCAAGCAGCCCTTCATGCAATATGACCAGTACCCGATGGTTCGCAGCTGGTATCCGTATGCCTCTGCTCCGTTCCCTCCCCATTATGGAATGGCTCCGTATCATGATCAGGGGTCTAAAGAGTAACTTATGGTAAGGCAAAATGATCACAAATGTAACTCATTTTGTGTAATTATCTAATGTATTATTTACAGCAATAATTGACATTTCAGTCTAATCACACTTCTTTCAACAGGCGGAATCTGCAATTTCCAACCATTACTGGTGAAGTGCAAAATAAATACACTATATGTACTGCTTGAGTTTATGGTGTTACTTGACAGTTGGAACGGGGGGGGGGGTTGCCAGGGAACTTTCACCTGACCAGTCCAGCCAATCACAGGCTACTGGGGGTGCGCTAACATTCTCTCATTCCAGCCTGTGCTTTAGTTGCATTCATGCTGCTACATGACCTCAGTAACATTTTGAGATTTAGGGTTCAGCTGTGAGATGTGCCTGTATCGCTGTGAATTAAAGTCCAGCGTATGTGCCACTTTTCAAAAGTGAATTTTTCTAATTGTATTTATTTAGAATGAATGCATGAGATGCATCTCATTTTCAAATGTCCAAAAAAAAATGCTTAGTTACAATGTAACAACCTTTATATTATCAGGGAGTCTTACAAGACCAAGATCTTACAGATTACCCAGAATTACTGAAATTACAACTGCAAGCAGAAATAAGTAATATAAAATGCATTCCTCAGTAATAAGGTCCTCAATCAGCTTTCTGAATTGCCCTAGAGGTACCAAAACATCACATTTTAAAATGGCTGTTTCACTTAACTTTGAGATCAAATGAATTTTCAGAGTTAACCATCCATGAGACCGGCTGTGGTAACTCGTGTACACTCACTACTGTAAATTACTCTGGATAAGAGCGTCTGCTAAATTGCAAAATAGAAACACATTTTTAAAGTAATGTTGGGTACGGTGGGAGTATTTCAAAGGGCTTTATGTATTCTAGAAATGTATCAACCTACGTGACAGAGGGCCAACTTTCTGGTAGAAAACAGGGATTAGTACTAAACCTGGTGCCTGTAATAAAGCGCAGTGAGCTATGATAAACTGCAGCTAATAGCAGCTGCGTTCATATAGATCTCGCTGTCGTCTAGGACCGGTAGGAATCCACCTGACAGGTGTGGAATATCAAGAAATTGATTAAACAGCATGATCATTACAATAAAAGGCCCTTCTAAAATGTGCAGTTTTGTCACACAACACAATGACACGTCTCATGTTGAGAGAGAATGCAATTGGCATGCTGACTGCAGGAATGTCCACGAGCTGTTGCCAGAGATTTTAATGTTAATTTCCCTGCCATAAGCCGCCTCCAACGTAGTTTTAGAATTTGACAGTATGTCCAACCGGCCTCACAACCACAGACCACGTGTAACCGCGCCAGCCCAGGACCTCCACATTCGGCTTCTTCACCTGCGGCATTGTCTGAGACCAGCCACCCGGACAGCTGATGAAACTGTGGGTTTGCACAACAGAAGAATTTCTGCAGAAACCGTCTCCGGGAAGCTCTATACATGAACAGTAATTGATATTTAAGTGAATGGCGCTGGAGGGAATATCGTTCGTTTTATGGACTCCTGACCAATTGCGGCCCCCGGCGGCGTCTCGGAGTCATGGCTAAAGGACATGGCTAATATAAATCTAGCTGGGTTTTCTATGCGTCGGCAGGACAGACTGGCAGAGCCCAGTAAGATCAGGGTGTGTGTCTCTTATCAACAGCTGGTGCGATCTCTAATATTAAGGAAGTCTCAAGGTTCTGCTCGCCTGAGTTAGAATATCATGATAGGCTGTCGACTGCTCTTGTTATCCTGGAGGTGCGTTCCTTGAGCATGATATGCTGGCATAGAGGTAGAGTGGCAAGGCCATGCAGAATCTTAAAGGCAAGGCTTACATCTGTCTCAGCCTCCAGTATCTATGCCCCAATAGTCTGTGCCAGGGGGCTAGGGTCAGTCTGTTATATCTGGTGTAATTCTGGTGTCCTGTGTGAATTTAAGTATACTCCCTCCCGGAGGACCTGAGCCCTGGCACCATGCCTCAGCACTACATGGCCTGATGACTCCTGGCTGTTCCCAGTCCACCTGGTTGTGCTGCTGCTCCAGTTTCAACTGTTCTGCCTGCGGCTATGGAATCCTGACCTGTTCACCGGACCTGCTCACTTGTCTCTCTTTCTACTGCACCTGCAGTCTCGACCTCAATGCTTTGCTATGAAAAGCCAACTGACATTTACTCCTGAGGTGCTGACCTGTTGTACCCTCTAAAACCACTTATTATTTGACCCTGCTGGCCATCTATGAACATTTAAACACATTGAAGAACGATCTGGCCTTAATGGCCATGTACTCTTAGAATCTCCACCCGGAACAGCCAGAAGAGGACTGGCCACCCCTCAGAGCCTGGTTCCTCTCTAGGTTTCTTCCTAGGTTCCTGCCTTTCTAGGGAGTTTTTCCTAGCCACCGTGCTTCTACATCTGCATTGCTTGTTGTTTGGGGTTTTAGGCTGGGTTTCTGTATAAGCGCTTTGTGACATCTGCTGATGGAAAAATGGCTTTAAAAATACATTTGATTGATATAAGGAAATCACTCCATTTAAATACATTCATTAGGCCCTAATCTATGGATTTCACGTGACTGGGCACGGACACAGGCAATCAGAATGAGTTCTTCCCCACAAAAGGGCTTTATTACAGACAGAAATACTCCTCAGCAATTGATAATTTGACATATCAATACCGTTTGATATCGATATGAAAAGGGCATACCGTGATATTGGTTTATTCTTCCTGTTAACCTACACTATTCTGTAGAAAAGCATGCATGACTGTTCCTGCATGCAAAGTCCTCTCACAGACCTTCCAACAGGTTGCTTATCATACTTTAAAAAACTAAAACAGGCTGCTCAGCATACTTAATTGCCTGTTGATGGGCCATCAACTGTGGATGGGCTTCCTATTGTATTAAATCTGGATAGGTAGGTTTATGCCACCAGAACACACCTGGCCCAATGGGCAATCCGCAAGCATTTGTCTGGATTTCACAGAAAAGTGAACATTCACAAAGTTGCAATGTGTTTTCTACAAATCGATATATCGAATCAAAAAATTCCAACTGATATCAATTTTACATATCGGTGCCCATCACTAATTTCATGGATTTATTCGATGAGGGATTGTAACAACAATGTATCATTAACCACATTTCCCTCCACTGTTTTATGTGAGTAAAGTCCTACTGTGGTAAATGCAGACACATCGTTTGTTCCACATGGTGGGCTCTTTTTGTCTGTAAAATTAGTTGTGAGAAATGCCGGCGGAAACCCTTTTATGTGCAGATATTGATATAATAACCATCATATAAAAGTAAACTTGCTGTCACGATATGGTGTGTGTGGTCCTCCCGCTATGACTCGGAAAACCATGTCATTTATTAGGCTACAGATGAAATAAATGATGAACTTCACAGGGTGGTGAGATTGCCCGGTGATCAGGTTGATGCCGCTTTACAATAGCGGGGGTCTTATTCTGGTGGCTTGATGCTTGACTGCTTTTGACAAATAAAAATATTATTGTTCTTAGTCTTATCCATAATAATCTCAAAAGTTTTGAGAATGACACAAATATTAATTTTCACAAAGTCTGCTGCCTCAGTTTTTATGATGCCAATTTGCATATACTCCAGAATGTTATGAAGTGTGATCAGATGAATTGCAATTAATTGCAAAGTCCCTCTTTGCCATGAAAATGAACTTAATCCCAAAAAAACATTTCCACTGCATTTCAGCCCTGCCACAAAAGGACCAGCTGACATCATGTCAGTGATTCTCTCGTTAACACAGGTGAGAGTGTTGAGGACAAGGCTGGAGATCACTCTGTCATGCTGATTGAGTTAGAATAACAGACTGGAAGCTTTAAAAGGAGGGTGGTGCTTGAAATCATTGTTCTTCCTCTGTTAACCATGGTTACCTGCAAGGAAACACGTGCCGTCATCATTGCTTTGCACAAAAAGGGCTTCACAGGCAAGGATATTGCTGCTAGTAAGATTGCACCTAAATCAACCATTTATTGGATCATCAAGAACTTCAAGGAGAGAGGTTCAATTGTTGTGAAGAAGGCTTCAGGGCGCCCAAGAAAGTCCAGCAAGCGCCAGGACCATCTCCTAAAGTTGATTCAGCTGCGGGATCAGGGCACCACCAGTGCAGAGCTTGCTCAGGAATGGCAGCAGGCAGGTGAGAGTGCATCTGCACGCACAGTGAGGCAAAGACTTTTGGAGGATGGCCTGGTGTCAAGAAGGGCAGCGAGGAAGCCACTTCTCTCCAGGAAAAACATCAGGGACACACTGATATTCTGCAAATGGTACAGGGATTTGACTGGGGTAAAGTCATTTTCTCTGATGAATCCCCTTTCTGATTGTTTGGGGCATCCGGAAAAAAGCTTGTCCGGAGAAGATAAGGTGAGCGCTACCATCAGTCCTGTGTCATGCCAACAGTAAAGCATCCTGAGACCATTCATGTGTGGGGTTGCTTCTCAGCCAAGGGAGTGGGCTCACTCACAATTTTGCCTAAGAACACAGCCATAAGTAAAGAATGGTACCAACACATCCTCCGAGAGCAACTTCTCCCAACCATCCAAGAACAGTTTGGTGACGAACAATGCCTTTTACAGATGATGGGGCACCTTGCCATAAGGCAAAAGTGATAACTAAGTGGCTCGGGGAACAAAACATCGAAATGTTGGGTCCATGGCCAGGAAACTCCCCAGACCTTAATCCCATTGAGAACTTGTGGTCAATCCTCAAGAGGCGGGTGGACAAACAAAACCCACAAATGTAATTGACAGCATGCCAGGGCGGATTGCAGAGGTCTTGAAAAAGAAGGGTCAACACTGCAAATATTGACTCTTTGCATAAACTTAATGTAATTGTCAATAAAATACTTTGACACTTATGGAATGCTTGTAATTATACTTCAGTATACCATAGTAACATCTGACAAAAATATCTAAAAACACTGAAGCAGCAAACTTTGTGAAGACCAATATTTGTGTCATTCTCAACTTTTGACCACGACTGTAGA